AATTAAAATATTTATCATATGAAGCACTCAAAAGTGGCTTACTAGTATATTTCCAATTGACATAAGACTCATTAATTAATCATATTTATGCCAGATGTTTTGTCTATTCTCGTCCAAACATTTAAAATTTTCCCAAAACCGTACCAGCAAAATTCACAGATCATATTCATATGGCATCATACATTTTCTGATTTGCCCGCCAAAGGAAGACTCCTATATCCCATCACGCGAATCGAAATATTCTTGATCTTGATTCTTGGAGGAAGAGAGAAAAAGGAAAAAGGGAAAATCGAAATACTAACTAAAACCGGAAAAAAAAAAAAGAAAAAAGCAAGGCGGAAATGGTGGTTCCGGGGAACGACGTCCTGTATGGGGACTGGAGCGAGAGGAGGACGTGCTTCGTGCTTGGCGGACGAGGTTTCTTGGGGAGATCGCTCGTCAACAGGCTGCTACGCCTCGGCGAGTGGATCGTCAGAGTCGCCGATTCCCAGTCATTGCAGCTCGATCCTTCTTCCGACTCCGATTCCCTCCTCTCTTCCGCTCTGTCCTCCGGTCAAGCCTCCTTTTGCCAAGTCGACGTCCGCGATGTATCTCAAATATGCAAAGGTAACAAAATGATCGCATATTTACATGATGATTTAACGTATGCGTGTGTGCTTATATGTATTTGTTCATATGGAATCATGGATGTATTTTGTGTGTGAAATTGCAAAGTGGCCGGAGAAATGCAAGAAAAGAAAGCGTCATGTATGAATTTTTATTCTTCTCTCCTCTAATCTTGATATTGTCTGCCGATCATTATGGTACTTAAATTGAAGGGAAGTAGAGTGGAGAAAGTTAAAAGGAGAAAGCGCTTTGACTTTTGTTGGGTTCATATTGAGAATGAAAGCATTTATTTGTTTGAGCAATTGAGGATAAAAGGAAAAATTAGAATGGTTTCTGGGCAAATTATGGCACTAATCTAAACAATGGTTAAATCAAGTTCAGGTTGATTTTCTTCTTCCTTTTTCCCTTAAAAATGAAGATGAAGCTGAAGGAAAAAGAAAACTAGTTTCCTAAGAAGATGAGAGAAATTAGCTTTGTTTGGGTCTCATTACTTGTTGCTTCTGTTTCCAGTTTTTAGAAATTCCTTGCAGTATAAAACCGGAAATAAGAAAGTAACGAAGCCTAGAATTTTCATCTTCTGCAGCTATTAAAGGTGCATTTGTCGTATTCTATATGGATCCCTCTGATTTAGACACCAATGATTTCTGTAACTGCTACATGATCATAGTTCAAGGTAATGTATTATTTATCTGAAGCAACATTTCTTGTGAAGAATAAACTAACATTTTTTTGGGAGGGGGTGGGGGCAGATCATTGGGTACAGGGTAAAAGAAAATGAAGAACAAACTAACATTTTTTTCTGGAGTTTTTGTTCAGGTGCAAAAAATGTCATCAATGCTTGCCGAGAATGTAAAGTTAGACGACTTGTATATAACAGTTCTGCAGATGTTGTCTTTGATGGTTCACAGGATATACATAATGGTGATGAATCTTTAACATGCCCTTGGAAAGTATGCTTCTCAACACTGCAATCTTTACTGTAACTGTATCTAATTTCCTCTCTTTTATTATTGACATGGTCATGACTCTTGATACAGTTTCAGGATAAGATGATTGACCTTAAAGCTCAAGCAGAAGCACTGATTGTGTTTGCCAACAACATTGATGGTCTTTTAACATGTGCACTTCGTCCTAGTAATGTCTTTGGTCCTGGCGATGCACAGCTTGTACCTCTGTTGGTAAATTTTGCAAAATGTGGTTTGGCAAAGGTTTGACAACTTTAACAATTTATTGATCTTCTTTTTTCTTTTTCTTTTTCTTTTTCTTTTTTTTTTCTAAGGCAACATTCTATTTTGGGAACTTCCTTTAGTTATACAATCAGTATTAATGTTAATTCATTCTAACACAATAATATTCCAATAGTAACTAAAACTGAAACGAACTTGTGTTCCTTAAGAACAACTGCCTGTGGTTCCATGTTCATTTTAAATCCCTGTTTTTTGTTTTCGTTTTTTTATTCATTTTATTAAGTTTTGTTGTTTTGCCTTGTTTGAATTTATTCCGCACTGGTTTCTATATTTGGCGCATGGATATTCTTGTCTGACCTTTTCCAAGTAACGGGTTTTTCATTTCAGTTCATTATAGGAAGTGGTGAAAATATGTCTGACTTCACCTTTTCTGAGAATGTTGCCCATGCTCATATCTGTGCAGCAGAAGCTCTAGATTCCCGGGTAGTCTCTGTGGCTGGAAAGGTGTGCTTCCTTTGGAATATTGTTTTGGGTAAAGAACTATTGGATATATTAATTGTAAATTAATCCATCCATAAGTCAAATGTTCTCTTCTAATCAACTTGTAGGTCTTTTTCATCACAAATCTTGAACCTATGCTGTTCTGGGAATTTGTGTCTCTCATACTTGAAGGCTTGGGATTTCAAAGGTATAGCACAGAGGTTTTCATCAGGACTTTGTTTGTCATGTGATAATGAGTTGCACAGGCTTATGTGCATTTCACATATGAAATATCCTGATTGAGGAGTAGTTTAAGTATTATCTTCTTCATTAAAGTATGGTTAAGACAAAGTTCCAACTTCCAAGAAAAGCAATGGTATGCAACTGCCCTTCTTCACCCAGAAGGGTAGATGATGGGCCAGTCATGATAACACTGAAACCATCACCTTCTGAGAGGTTGACTGCAATTCTGAATATACTGGGAAAAGTTAATTTATGACAGGGATGCTTCCTTATTTAGTTAATATCATCTTTGGTTTTGGCTCTTGAATTTTTTTTTTTTTTCAATTAATTAGCATATCTGTTGCTCGATTTGATCTTCCCTTTAGAACATGGAAATTGGAGAGTGCTTTCCTATGTTTTCTTGCATGTGTTACAGTAATTGCAGTTAAAGTTATGATTTATGTTCTGATTTTGGCTTCCTGCCTATTGGCTCCTGAGTCAAAGGAAAAGGCCTGTTAATTATGTGGATATTATGATTGCATTATTCTAATTGAAGTGGTGGCTTTCTTGATTGCAGACCATTCATAAAAGTTCCTACCAGGATATTTTGGTACATTCTTTTGGTTGTAAAATGGATGAAGGAAAAGTTGCACTTAAAAAACCATGGTGATTCTACATCAGCTCATTACTTAGTTCAACTAGCCTCTCGCACCAGAACTTTTGACTGTACTGCAGCTAAAAGGCATATTGGATACTCACAAGTTGTTTCCTTAGAAGTAAGTTTCTGCTGATGTTTTGTCTTTCATTGCACTTATGTTAATTCTAATTTCTTTCAGTTTCCTTTTGTACTTCAAGACTTAGTAACAGGGAACTTGCAAAATTGAAGGTCTCACATTTGGCTTACTTGTTTTCTCTTTGCTGATAATTCAGGAAGGTATTACATCAACAGTAGAATCATTCACACATTTAGCCAAAGATTTTGAGAGATACAGCTACTATGAAGGACAATCAAAAGCAGAGAAGCTGCTTGGAGAAGGGAAAGGTATTTTACTATCTGATTCTTCATTGGAACTGCACAGTAGCATTGCTTATTTTTTCAAACTGGAGTTTATGTCCAAACTAGACATTTTGGAAAAGTGTCCATGTAATGTTTTAGACTGAGGGTTGATTGATGTTGGCTCTTAGACATCATGTTATTGTCCTATTTTCTGTGCTGTTTTTTTTTAGCTGAAAATATTGTGGGCTAGAAATCAGTGTTAATGGTTGGTTTCATTAGTGGTGTTTCGAATAAAGAAAACCTGGTCAATTAGGGTTGTGATGATCCAATAGCCAAGCAATCTGCCCAACACTTTTATGCCTGATTTTCTGATCCCATCTGCTCCTAGCTGCATCCAAATTTGTTACAGGATGTTATCTTAGAAAGGATTTATCATAACTTGGCTTGTTTCTTCAGCAAACACTAATGAAGAACCTATTTTTCTCTATAATTGTAATGGTTAGCCATTACCATAGATAGTCTTCTCAAGTGTCAAACTGAACAGATAGTGGCATAGAACAAGCTGCACCATGTGATAATCACTAGAAGGCTTGAGACATATCTGTCCAGTATGGCAGTAAAATATCTTTTCTTTTGATACATCCAACTAGTCTCTTCTTTTTAAGGATTTGGCAGCATAACCTTTGCTGTGAAATGACCTGGAACTAATTTACTGCAGTTTCTGACATTTTGCTCTGGAGAGATGAAAGGAAAACGTTTACATGCTTTCTTGCTCTGGCTCTGGTGTTTTACTGGTTCTTTCTCTGTGGAAGAACTTTTATCTCATCCATGGCCAGTCTTCTGCTATGGGTTGCAATAGTGCTTTGTGGATATGGCATTATACCGTTGGAGATGTAAGTTTTCATTTTATAAATACCTTGAATGTTTGATGGAATTTTTGTTTGACCTTCCAAGACCCTTTCCTCCTTTTTTCTGTTCCTTTCTTTGTCTCTCTAATTAGTTCTACGTGGAATCACAAGCAGCTGCTTGGTTTTTGTTTCTTATGGTTTCAACTTTTACTTTTGTGGGTTCAATTTTTGTTCTGTCTTGTTCTATTGGTCAGTATTTCTTGTCATGCTTCTATCTTTCCCCAACTTTCTAAAGAATAAAGGGTCTACTAATTATGATTACATTGCAACAGATTGGATTTAATCTGGAGGATACGTTTACCTAGTGTTGAAATCTCAGAAACAGTCATGAGAGATTCAATTAGATCCATAGCTTATGAATGGAATAGAGGGGCTCGTACTATAAGGTCATTGGCCAAGGGAGAGAACTGGAATACTGTTTTCAAGGTATGGATTATGACAGACTCAGTAAATCGTTCACAACAATTATACC